TTCAGATGTGTCAGCAAATACTCTGGCATTTCCGGGGTGACTTGAAACATACACTCTTTTGTATACAAAACACTTGAAGAAACCCACAGGGGTCAGGTTCATCCTCCATAACTGAGCCCGGATCCATCATCCAACCGCTTCTAGTCAGTAACATGGACGGGGATCTTGCTGGCTGCTTGGCAATTATGATCAGACATCGAAATGCACAGTCCCTTCTACCCAGAGAGGCCACTGTAGGAGCAGACTTTCCTGATGTACGAGTTCATTCGTTGCAGCACGATGAAATAACGGAAGACTGCAATCCGTCTGAATGTCCATCTACGGCAGTCTCCCGGTGGCACGGCGCCCTAACGAGGTTTGTCCATGGAGCTCTCGGTCCAAACCTGAGTCATCGCAGTCTCTGAGACTAGTTTGCCAGAACATTTTCAGGCGAGGGCAGGGCATTGTATGCATGGGACTGAGGACAGGTGAGTTTGGGGTCAGAAAAGAGAGAACTGGCTTGGGAGTGTGGGGGAAGGTGGACAGCTGTGTCCTTGTGGAAGAAAGGACATGAGTAATGTGTCCAGAGGTGGGGTTATAAAGTGGGGTCCTGCCACTGGGTGCAGAGCTGGGACAACAGATGAATGTCATGGCGGGGGGGAGAGGGGTGTCTGAAGGCAGAGCGGGAACTGCCGGAGAGCTTGATTTTATAGTTTTTACTATGTAATGGGACTGGCACGGTGACTCCTCTGGCAGGAAAGGTAATTTCCCTGCCCAGTAATGGAAGAATCCCCCCAGTTCCTGACCGTGGGGCCTGCGTGCAGCACGTTGTTGGGAAAGCACATTCAATCTGGGTGATTTCCTCCCTTGCATTTCTGCCGCACATCAATTTCCCCAGTTCTTGGCCCCAGACTTGGAATTTGATTTGCAGCATTTACGATGAGATGATTTGTTGTTTGGTGTAATTGCCCTAAATCTTGATCTGGCCCTATTCTCCCCGCCCCAGTTTTCTACAAATCACTGAGCTGCCTCCAGCTTCTCGCCCCCTGTCAGGTGCCAGACCTGGCTGCCTCCTGGGCTGCAGCGAGACTCTGCAGTCAGCCCTTTGGAAAAATTCACCACACTGTGCACTTTTCACATTTTACTGTATGAATGTTATACCTCAATCACAAAAAGGAAAAAAAAATCCCTGTCAAGTGCCCATGGCTATAATGAGGACCAAGTCAAACTAGAAATGCTTGTAAAATACCGAACACATCTGAATGGTTATTGGTAAGTAATAATAATGTGAAGACATTATAATAATGTGAAGATGTTAGAGCCTCGAAAAAGCTGTGCTATTCTTCTGGACCTGCAATAACTTGACCAGAACAGAAACTGAGCAGGTGTGAGCAGCTACACGGTTTCACTGGAAGGACAGGAGACGTATTAGGATCTGTTTCTGGTGCTGAGTTTAGCACTTGGCATTTGCTGAGTGCTTGCCCTTGCTTGTATCATCTCATTCAGCTTCCTGGCAGGCCAGGCAGGTGTACTGCTGCCCTCAGTTCCTTGACCTCTCAACTGGCCTTGGAAGTCCATCGAGCATCCAGGCCCCAACTCTCAAGGCTACTAAGGCTCTGCAGGCCCCTGTTGCCTGTCACCTAACGGTGCCCCTTCTTCCTCCTGTGTTAATAGTCCAGTTATTAGTAGTGTTAAATCATGCAATCAAGACTGTGCCCTTAGTGAGAAAGGAGGAAGGGTGGTCTGGCCACGCGGCATGCGTGGTGGCAGTAACTGAAATTCTGTTGAAATCTGGTCGAGTTTAGGAAATGTTCCTTTTTCTAATTTGGAGTATGGGACTTCCTGGTCTGCCCCAGAATGGCCTGACCTCCTGCCCCAAGATAGAGCCTCCCATTGAGTTGAGTCCACTTCTCACTATGGAAGAGTCACCCCCTCTCCCCGCCAGCAGACTCACCTCCAAATATTCTCTTCCTTGTCTAGGCCATTTACACTTCACACCACCTGTAAGGCCAGTTCAAGTGCCACCTTTCCCCAGAAGCCTTCCTGGATTGCCCCACCTGTCCTAAACCTCTCCCTTCCCCAAACTCCAGAGCAGCAGCGGTGTGGCTCCTCAGTGGGACTTGGATAGCACCGCCCTCTTCCAAGGCTCTGAAAGCTCCCCGAGAAGCTACTCCAAATAAACATAAAATCTACACAAAAACCGTGGGGTGCTGCCTGGTTGGGCATAGCCCAGTGGTTGAGCATCGATCTATGAACCAAGAGGCCACGGTTGGATTCCTGGTCAGGGTACATGCCCGGGTTGAGGACTTGGTCCCCAGTGTGGGGTGTGTGGGAGGCAGCCCATCAGTGATTCTCTCTCATCATTGATGTTTCTATCTCTCTCTCCCTCCCTCTCCTTTCCTCTCTGAAATCAATAAAAATATATTTGAAAACAAAACAAAAAAGTGGAGTGCTCTTCAAAGGCAGCTTCAGACATGCTCTCTGCCCGTGTTCCAGCCAGGTGTCTCCCTTCAGCTCAGCTGCATAGACATTCTGGAGCCTTTAAAGAAGGCACAACAATGTCTGGCCTACTCTCTTGATTGTATTTAAGACAGCACTTGATTGTATGTTGCCTGGTACTGTTGTCAATTATTTCTTGTTTGTCGGTCTTGATCTTCAACAAGGCGGTACCCTCCTCTGTCCTATTCCTTGTGCTCCTTAGGGTCCAGCAGAGGGCTTGTCATAGCCAAGCGAGAGCACCAGTTCCTGAAGACTTGGAGACGCTCTGCTAAAAACATACTGTGCTTGGTAAATTCAGCAAATTCTCTTTATTCCTATTATTTATAGTATTAATATTGACAGGCTTAATGAGTAATTGTTGGTGTTTTAATTGCATTTTTATTGACTTCTCCAGTTGTTAAGTACAATTTGTAAAAAGCCAATTGGACTTTAAACGGCACTGCTGCTGTTTCCCAAGGTAATATTGTACTTTCATCACATCCTTGAAAAGTGTACTCAGCACATTTGGTAGGCTGAGGAGGTGAACTGCTCAGAAACAACACTGGCCTCTGCGGCATGCACATCGATAAACATGTCTTCACTCCCATCACACGTCTTCCCAGTTTAGGGTTAAGTTATTGCTCATTCTGTACCAATAGCAACTGCGGTTGATGTACACACTGGATAATTCGTGTGTCCCACCGTCTTCCTCCGGTTGACAGCTGTGGGGTTGGTATTGACCCCTATGTACCACAGGTTCACAATCCTTTCTCTAAAACCCTTGGGGCCAGATGTGTTTTGAAGTCTGAACTTTGGGGATTTTAGAAAAGTGAGCAGATGCCTAAGGCTTTGGTTTTGTAACAGTCTCAGCCAGAGCAAGGGTGGTGCCCAGTAATTTAAAACATTACTAATTCTATAGTAAAACATAGATCATTTTAAGTAGCTTCCCATTTGTTCAGGTCAGGCTTTGCTGATAAATGAGGTTTAGCATCAAACTTTCTGCTTTCATAGATTTTTGGGTTTTCCAGTTATAGATAAGGGCTGGTGGCCTGTGTCCGTATACTGAGGTGTACTGGAGTAGAACTGGCCACTGGGTTTGTCAGAGATCTCAGACCCTGGCTCCACCAGCACCATGCGGCACTCATTCAGTTGGGGATTACAGTTCAATTCACCAAACATTTGTTGTGGTCGTGTCTGTGTGCCAGACACTATGAGAGACTTTAAAGGGAGTAAGATAGGGCTCTGTGTTAGTGGGCTCAGGCAGGCTGCTATAACAAATCTCAGGAGTGGGGGGGGGGGGGGCGGGGACTTAAGCAGCAGACATTTATTTTCTCACAGTTCTGGAGGCTGGGAGTGTAAGATCAAGCTGCCAACAGGTTGGTTCAGGTGAGGACTCACTCCTTTTCCATCTTGAAGATGGTCGCCTTCTCACTGCATCCTCACCTGTCTTCTCTGCATGCAGGGAGAGAGCAATCTCGGTGTCTTTCCTCTTCTTATAAGGACACGGTGGGGAGAGAGGGAGGAGGAAGAGGGCACAGAGGGAATAAATGTGATGGAAAAAATAAAATAAATAAGGACACCAGCCCTATCTGATTAGGGCCCCACCCTTATACCTTTACATGGCCAACAATATACTGATAACAAACCTGACAAAAACATCACAATAGGCCTAGATCCAAGATATATAATAGACCAGGATCACATAGTGCATATATATGTGTGTATATAAACATATACACACATATATATATGAAACGTAGCAACATGTTAAAAAATATATAACATGACCAAATGGCATTTATCCTACATATGCAAAGGTACTTAGTACCTGCAAATAAGTTAATATACTATACCTTATTATAGTAGATAAAAACTCAAAACCAAAACTCTCAGAGAGTCTAGCATACAATTTGCTTAAATAAATTTTAAATCTGCAGAGAGAATACCAATTGGCCTTGAAAACATTTCTCTAAAAAGTCTAACTCTCTAAAAACTGCTTTTGCAAATGTGGCAGTTGAAGCAAAATATGAAAATGTTTATCCCCTTTGACACAGAAATCCCACTCCAGGGAATTAATTGATCCTAAGGAAATAATTCAAATGAATATTGTTGTTACAGTGTAATTTGTAGTAGTGACAAATTTTAAGCAAAGGCCAATGTTTAATAAATTATAGTACATTGCCTCAGTAGACTACTATGTAGCCATTATACTTTAGAAATATGATATGTGAAGCAATATGACAGTGTTTATAATGTAAAACTCAGTTTCCATATGAACATCCCTGAGAGAGTTCCCTGAGAGGAAACTCAAAGAAGTGAAGATAATTTTAATGTTGAACGTTAGGAATATGAGCATGTCCAATTCCACCTTTTTAAAAAATTAACCAGTAAAACATATTTTACAGAGTGCCTAAGATTCCCAGGCCTAAATCCCCCACAAAACAGGGTTCCCATTTTAGGCGGTAGATGGGATAAAGTCAGCTAGGTGAGGAAAATTTGTAAGTCTGTGAAATCGAATAAAGGAACAAAATTATGTATCATTATGCAATCTCAGAGAAAAAGGAAGTTTATCTATGAGCTCAAAGGAACATATAAGTGTATTTTAGTTAAAAATATTAAAAGACTGAAAAAACACTGATGTTTACGAAACTACGGTGGGAGCTTCGCAGGGCATGCCCTCCGCATGGGATGGACGTTTCGGAGCTGCACTCGGGAGTGGCACAGGAGCTCCCGGATCTTGTCCTGGCACCTCTTGTCTGCCGCTCTCCCTGCTTCCAGCTCCCGGCGCTCCTCTTCCTTCTGTGCTTCCCGGGCCTGCTGCTGGTAGGACATTTGCATCTGAAGCTCCTTCTGGTACTCCTGGGCTAACCCGGAGCGTCTGCAGTATTAAGCATGTCAAAGGATAAAATTATAAAAGTAAGCATTTGGATTTATTTAGGGCATTATCATTAAAATGTAATTGGTGGGGTGAAATTAAAATTTCCATTAAAAACACCAAACTGGTTTGGCTCAGTGGATAGAGCATGGGCCTGTGGACTGAAAGGTCCCAGGTTCGATTCCGGTCAAGGACATATACCTTGGTTGCAGGCACATCCCCAGTAGGAGGTGTGCAGGAGGCAGCTGGTCGATGTTTCTCTCTCATCGATGTTTCTAACTCTCTATCCCTCTCCCTTTCTCTCTGTAAAAAATCAATAAAATATATTTTTTTAAAAATCAAGTTGAGTGGGGAAGAAACAGATGACAAATCCAATAATGTGTTCAATATATCATAATTAAGATAATCTTAGAACAAATATTAATTTTTAGGGAGGGAAGTTTTCAAAATAGTCACTGTGATGTGGAGAGAGTTTTGGCCTTTTTCCATCCCCTCTCACTCCTCTCCAAGGACTGGTAAAACTGGGAACAGGCTGACCTGCCAGTTTTCCACTCGTCTGTCTATCGAAGGGCCAGGCCCCTACAGGGAAAGCCTGCAGTGGTCTCAGACTGCTGGTGCCTAGGTGGGTAAGTTGGCCTCATTCTGTCCAGTATTAACTAGACAATTTCTTCCACAGATAAGCAGCATTTTAAATAGATAAGCCACACTTTAAATTTATACTGTGAGCCCTGGCTGGTGTGTCTCAGTTGGTTGGAGTGTCGTCCCATACACTGAAAAGTCACAGGTTTGATTCCTGGTCAGGGCACATACCCAGGTTGCTGGTTCAATCCTTAGTCCTTGATCAGGCGCATACTGGGAGACACCCGATCGATGCTTCTCTCTCACATCAATGTTTCTCTCTCTTCCTTTCCCTCTCCCTCTCCCTTTCCCTTTGCCTCTCTCTCTCTCCCTTTCTCTCTCTCTCTCTCTCTCTCTCTCTCTCTCTCTCTCTCAATATATATATATATATATATATATATATATATATATATATATATATATATATATATATATCAATAAAAACATATCCTTGGGTGAGGATTAAATTTTTTTTAAATTTATAGTGTGATGTTTTTATTGTGGTAAAAAATACATAATGTAAAATTTACCATCTTAACCATTTTTAAGTGTTAAGTATATTCACATTGTTGTAAAATAAATCTCTAGGACTTTTTCATCTTGCAAATCTGAAATTCTATACCCATCAGAAAATGAAAACTCACCTTTTCCCCTTCCACCCAGCCCCTGGTAACCACCATCCTATTTGCTGTCTCTATGAATTTAACTATTCTAGGTACTTCATATAAGTAGAATCACACAGTGTTTGTATTTTGGTGTCTGGCTTATTCCACTTACCATAATGACCTCAAGGTTCATCCATGTTGTAACAAGTGTCAGAATTTCCTTCCTTTTTAAGGCTGTATAATATTCCATTGTATACAGGTTCCACATTTTGTTTATCTATTCACTTGCTAATGGACATTTGGATTATTTCTACCTCTTGGCTATTGTGACTAGTGCTGCTATGAACATGGCCATGCAAATATGTCTTCAAGGTCCTGCTTTTAATTATTTTGGATATATACTCAGAAGTGAAATTGCCAGATCATAGTGTGGACTAAGAAGGAGTTCTATGGAAAGTAACCTCACGGGGTGATCTGGTCATAAATTCCTAACTGGGCAGGTCATGGTGGGTAGTCACGCACCAGGCATATACATTAACACATCTTTGAAATAAGTGTAACCACTCAAAAAAGCATATAATCTTATTAACTATCCTGTGGTCCTTGCTTTCTCCCACCCTTAGGTAATCTTTCTTCCCTTCCCTCCTTTATTCCAAATGCATAAGAGAAACTGTGAAACTGCCGTTCCCCAGAGCATTTGAGATCTTGCTTCCTGGCAACTGTGGTCAGTGTTGGCTCAAATAAACTCTTTACACATTCTCTACAGGTTTGGACATTTCTTACATCAATATGACAGTTCTATTATTAATTTTTTGAGAAAATTTCATACTGTTATCCTTAGCAGTTGCACCATTTTACAATCGATAAGCCACATTTTTAATATCAGCTTTCATTAGATATAAAGATTATAGCACGTATCTGCTTCTGTGGCAGATTCTATTTTCAGTTTGTTTCATGGGGGTGGGGAGTCCATCAAGTTATTTCATTGGGATATAGGATTGGTGCCTGTTTTAAAAAGTTTTTTTCTAATTTATATTATTTTTTCAAGATGTTCATCTGCCCTAGCCAATGTGGCTCAGTAGCTAGACCATCGGACTGCATACCAAAGAGTCTTGGGTTCGATTCCCAGTCAAGGGCAAATATCTGGGTTGCGGGTTCACTCCTTGCCCCCAGTCGTGGTGAATGCAGGAAGCAACCAATCAATGTGTCTCTCTCACATCAGTGTCTCTCTCTCTCCTCCTCCCTCCCTCCCTCCCTTCCTCCCTTCTACTCTCTCTGAAAAGCAATGGAAAAAATATCCTCAGGTGAGGATTAACAAAAAAAAAATAAAGATGATCATTCAGTTCAATACCCAATTAGTATAATCAGAATGTACACAATAGCAATAGAATTTAATTTTACCAAGATGGTTGGTACTTATTTTAAGAGTCACATGCTCTACTGACTGAGCTAGCCAGGCACCTTGGTACTTATTTTATTTTTATTTTTTTTAAATATACTTTATTGATTTTTTACAGAGAGGAAGGGAGAGAGATAGAGAGTTAGAAACATCAATAAGATAGAAACACTGATCAGCTGCCTCCTGCACACTCCCCACTGGGGATGTGCCCGCAACCAAGGTACATGCCTTTGACCGGAATCAAACCTGGGACCCTTGAGTCCACAGGCTGACGCTCTATCTGCTGAGCCAAACCGGTTAGGGCTTGGTACTTATTTTAATATGAAATTCTGTAAAGTGATTTGAGCCTTTAGGACAAATATAATAGTCATGCATCACTTTGACAGGGATACATGAGAAATGTGTCAGGTGATTTCGTTGTGTGAACATTACGGAGTGCGTTTATACAAACCTAGGTGGGATAGCCTATTACACACGTAGGCTTCAAGCCTGGTGTTTGTTTATCCAAACATATCCAAAGGTATAGTAGAAACAGAATAGGCCTGGCCAGTGTGGCTCAGTTGGTTGAGCATTGTCCCGTGCACTGAAAGGTCAGTTGTTCGATTACTGGTCAGGGCACCCAAACAAAAACACAGAACACAATACTTTTATCCTACTGGCAGCACAGTAGGTTTGTTTACACCAGCATCGCCATAAACATGGGAGTAATGAGCTGTACTACAGCATTATTAGAGCTACAACAGCACTAGGTGATAGGAATAGTTCAACTCTGTTATAATTTCAGGAGACCTTCATCGTATATGCAGTCCGTTGTTGGTAGAAATGCTATATAGCACCTGACTGTACTGATGTAAAATAATGTCAGTAATGCAAGAATTATGGCACATGGTCCTCTATGTTAAAAAAAATCTCCATTTTTTAAATTTAGATAGTGATAATAAAACAAAATCATACCTTACAAAATTCTCCTCCTCTTCACGGTTAAGCTCTTTAAGACCTTCCTGTATGTGCTCCTTTTCCAGAGCACGTTCTTCCAGTTCTTTCGCTTTTCGTTGCACTACGAAAGACAACAGCAATGCTTGCTAATTGACTTTTTCCAGACAAGACTTGCTAACATCTTTCTGGGCATCGATGGCATATTATTCTTAGAAAGGCAGAGCTTAGAATCACTGGGCTGGATCTTAGACCAATAAGGTGGAAATAGTTATCTCCACTGAGGAAATAACAAGGTTTAGGTTCATATGTGCTGTGATCTACAGATTTTCTCTTAATCATTTTTTGTTGAGACTCTATGCTCAGCCTTTTTCAAACCAGATTACCATAGAACTTTCTCTTCTTGAGGACAAATAGTTCTATTGCCATTAATGTTAATGAGAGCCTTTACTTATTACAAAATAAATATTTTTTTAAAAGTCTTTGTATAAAAGGCTTTTAAAAATTAAATAAGAAAAATTGAAGCATCCCTATAGGAAAAATATGACAAAGAAAACAGAGTTCACAGAAGAATAAACACAACCAGGCAATTCACATCTGAAATGTACATATCTTCCCAAAATCCACTTACAGAAATGTATCTTACACAATCATATATAAGCCAAAATAAACTATTTACAGAATTTTTAGGACAAATGTAAGACATTCATCTGCCACTTAATCATGGTAACCTGCAATGCTAAAGTACTGGTAAGATTCAAAACAATCTGAAGGTCCATTAGTTGTGTTTAGGTAAAATAAATTATGGTCCATTTTTATAATGGATTTCTAGGCAGCATTACAAATCTTATAATTGAAGAAAAATGACCTGGAAATGTTTATAATAAGTGGAAAATTTAGGCTATAAAATAATATATACAACATGACCCTGATTTGTAGAGGGAAATTATATACATAGTAAAAATACTGGGAAGAAATTGTGAATAGTAGGTATTCCCGGGTTGATGGAATGATAGCTGACTTTGTATCCTTCTTTATAAATGGTCTCAAATGCTTCCATTCTTTGTTTTCTCAGTCTGTTCTGAATCAATTATCATGGATGAATACAGAATCTTTTTCATTTATAAGCTTTCTTCTAATACTGACTTAATAATTTTTTAAAATATTTTTTTATTGAATGCAGAGAGGAAGGGAGAGGGAGAGAGAGATAGAAGCATCAATGACAGGAGAGAATCATTTATCTGCTGCCTCCTGCATGCCCCCTACCAGGACCAAGCAGCAACCCAGGCATGTGCCCTGAATGGCAACTGAACCATAACCTCCTGGTTCATCGGTCGACGCTCAACCACTGAGCAACAGAGGCTGAGCTGACTTAACAATTTTTAACTGCTGTTATAATACATGGAGTGGAGAATTAATCAAAGGAACCAAGATGAGCTTTCTCGTGCAAAGACAACTAATGAGAAGCCTAATGGCTTCCTAACTGTGAATCATCCATCTGCTGGGCTGGACATGGAATGATGGGAATCTGGAGGTGGCGGTTCCTCCTCCTACAGACACTGCCTTTTGTAAGCAGGCACTGTTTGGAGCTCAGAGAATACACTTGTGTGCTAAGACATGAGCAGGTCTCAGTGAGAGCCCCAGGAGGAGGATTAGGAACGGGGTGACATTTGAGCTGCCTTGAAGGATGTCCAGAATTCCTCTAGATCACAAGCATCATAGAGAAAACTACCCACGCAAAGGTATGCAGGTAGGGAGGTATGGAGACACCCGCAGAAAGCACAGAGGGACAGATAAAAGGGAGGACGGGGAGATGTGTGTCTTTACCTGACCTTCTCGCTCTCTTTCATAATCACTAAGGACCACAGACTAGTCATGCTGTTCCTTTACCCTTCAGAACATCTCCCCTACAACTGCTCAGAGTCTGCTGGGATATAACCCTCTTCATATGCTTTAGGTGGTCACACTTAAATAAGACCTGCAAAACAGGGATCTTGCCTTAATCCTTTTTACATCCCTCATAGTAGTTTATACATAACTAGAGGCCCGGTGCACAAAAATTTGTGCACTGGGGGGGGGGGGGGGTCCCTCAGCCCGGCCTGTGCCCTCTTGCAGTCTGGGACCCCTTGGGGGATGACCACCTGCTGGCTTAGGCCTGTTCCCTGGGGGATCGGGCCTAAGCTGGCAGTCAGACATCCTTCTGGCAGACCGGGAGCCTTGGGGGATGTCCACTTGCCAGCGGGGAGCACGCCTAAACTGCAGTCGGACATCCTTAGTGCTGCTGAGGAGGCAGGAGAGGCTCCCACCAGCACCGCTGTACTGGCAGCCATCAGCCTGTCTTGTGGCTGAGCAGAACTCCCCCTATGGGAGCACATTGACCACCAGAGGGCAGCTCCTGCATTGAGCATCTGCCCCCTGGTGGTCAGTGTGTGTCATAGTGACCAGTCATTCCCAGTCGTTCTGCTGTTAGGGTCAATTTGCATATTACCCTTTTATTATATAGGATACCTTCTTAATACATATTTTGGATGCTACTTAAATTGAATGAAGGCCCAACTAAAATATAATTATAATTCATTTCCTTACATTTTTCTTGAACTTGAAGTTTTCTTGTACACATGACCTCATTCATAAGTTGTTTCCTTGCCTCCTTTTCAAGTTTCAGCTGTTTGTCCTTCTCCGCCCACTGCTTTGCCTTCTCTTCTTCTAATATTCTGTCCAATTCTTTTTCCTGAGCATTTTCTTCCTCACGCTGCTGTGCCAAATACTGACGATATATCTTCTGTTCTTTTATCCTATCTTCCTACATAACATAAATTGACCACATGTTGTTAAAACATTCTTAAGTGTGATAATGATATTGAGGATATTTAAAAACAATCTTAGAATTACAATCTCAATGTTTCAGAACTACCACTGAAATTTTATAGATGAAATATTATGTCGAGGGTTTACTTCAAAATACTTAGGGGTAGTGGGGGTATTGGGTGGTGGTACAGATGAAACAAGAATGGTCATTAGCTGATGGTTTTTGAAGCTAGGTAAGGGACACATGGGGGTTCTTTGAACTATTCTTTGTACCTGTTTGAAATGTTCTAAAATACATTGTTGAATAAGTTAATTCACACACTATTCCAAAAAGTGTGTCTCCAAGCAGTTCCCAAATAATTTGCAATGGTACAGTTTTATTTTCATTTATTTTAATTTGGGTAGATGAAATCTTAACCTGATAAACAAAATAAATCACTACTACTACATGGCACTGTTTCTGACCAGAAGATAAGTCAGTCACCTGATATTTTATAACAGCAATTCTCAATCTTAGCTACACTTTGGAATAACCTGGGGAGCTTTTCTTCCTTTTCTTTTCTTTGTTTTTATTCTTTACTTGAGTTCTGGCTAAGAAAGAATTCAGAGCCAAGACTCAAATACAAGCAAAAGTTTATTTAGAAAGTCACAGAGGTAGAAGTGAGCCGTAGAAGAAATAGGCTCAGGAAACAAGTTACAGAGGCCAAAAAAGAGCCCTTGGAGCTTAGGAGAAAGAGAGAGGCAAGGAAAATGTGCTGGGGGGGGGGAGAGAGAGAGAGAGAGAGAGAGAGAGAGAGAGAGAGAGAGAGAGAACCATGCCCATTTTGGGAGCTTAAAAATTATTAAGGGCTGAGTCTCACCTCCAGAGATTCTTATCTAATGGATAGTTTTTAAGTTCCCCAAGTGATTTTAATGTGCAGCTAAGGTTGTGAACTGGACTTTATAACAAAGACATTTCTGTTTACTTCTCCATCTTCCATGGTTTTATATTTGTGCTGTTCCATTCAATCTCTGATCTAATCTCTTTTGAGAAAATCATAGACCTGAGGTAGGACTAGCAAGGTTTGAGGGCTATAGCTGTACTATCAGAATGGCTTGTATACACAGTCTCATTCTTACTTAGGAATAAATTTAACAAGAGAAGGGCAAAACTTATACTCTTAAAACTAAGAAATATTATTGAAATAAATTAAAGACCTAAATAAATGAAAAGACATCCTATGTTCATGGATCAGTAGACAATATTGTTAAAATGGCAGTTGTCCCCAACTTGGTCTAGAGATTCAAAATAATCCCTAACAAAATCTCATTGTCTTCTTTGCAAAAATCAATAAACTGATCCTAAATTCACATGGAAATTGAAGGGAGACAGAATAGTCAAAACAATTTGAAAAAGAAGAACAAAGTTGGAGGATTTACATTTCCTGATTTCAAACTCACTACAAAGCTCAGTGATCAAGATGTATAAACATGAGATGCAGCATAAGGATGGACATATAGATTAATGGTATAGAACTATAAGTCCAGAAATAAACCCTCACATTTACTGTCCTTTGATTTTTAACAAAGTGAAAAGACATGTAGGAAATTTAAATCCATATTACTTAGTGAAATAAGCCAATCTAAAAAGGCTACATATTTTATGATTCCAACTATATGACATTCTGGGAAAAGACAAAACTATGGAGATAGTTTTAGGCCAATGAAACTACTCTGTATGGTACTGTCATGGTGGACACATGTCATTATACATTTGTCCAAACCCATAGCATGTATAACACCAAGAGTGAACCTTATGCAGGCTTGAAGGGAGCGCCAACCAATTGATGTGTTTCTCTCACATCGATGTTTCTCTCTCTGTGTCTCCCCCACTCCCATCCACTCTAAAAAGCAATGGAAAAATATCCTCGGGTGAGGATTAACAAAACAAAAAAAACACACACAAAAAAACAAACAAAAGTGAAGCTTAATGTAAACTATGGACCTTGGGTAATAATGATAATAATGTAGGTTAATCAAATGTAACAAATGTACCACTCTATTGGGGGATGTTGATAATGGGGGGAGGCTTTGCATTTGTGGGGGCAGGAGGTTATGGGAAATTTCTGTATCTTCTGTTCAACTTTGCTGTGAACCTAAACTGCTCTTAGAAATAGTCTTTAAAAATAAGACTATATTATAGGAAAAGCATGACACCCTTAAGAGTTCAATACAAATGTCAAAGGAACAGACAGCTAAATGAATACTGGAATGCTTTTCTCTACTCTCCTTGCCTGACAACACTTTACATATCCTTTCATATCACTTTCTCAGTGATGTCCTCCCCAGCTTGCAGGCAGGCATACTCCCTCCTCCTCCTGCGATCCCATCGCCATGTGATAGAGTAGGAGTTCTCAGGATTCAGAGAGCATCTGAATAGACCTGGGGGAGCTTGTTAAAACACAGATTTCTTGCCCCTGCCAGGATTTCTAGATTCGGATTCTGGAGCCTACAAATTTCATCTCTCCCAGATGATGTTAACACCACACTTAGAGTGGCACTGTTACAGTTCATTCTGCATGTGGCTGGCTCCTGTAAGACAGAGCTCAACAAGGAATTTCACCCAGCACATATTAGACACTGAACACACGTCTTACTCTTTTTTGCTTGTTTTGATCAGCCTCGTCCTGTAAGTCTTGCTGCGCCATTTGCACGAGTTTCGTGCTCAAGTCCTGCTCTTCTCTGTACTCCTGCTGAAGACGTTCTATCTTCTCTTGGAGGGCTTTTTGCAAAGTGGTCCTAAGTTTCTGTTTTGTCCTCTGTTTGTTTAGCTTATCCTGCTCATTCTCAAATTTCACCTGAGCTCTTTCATCTTCCTAAGGCAGAATAACAATGAAGATAATTCAGTACAGTTGGACAAAACAAATTAATGCATTTCATATACACACCTGGAATTAGAAGGACTATAAGAAATAAAACTTGCCTTCTCATTGCTGAGTCAGCAGTAAGGCTTTGTGAAATCGCTGTGTATGTAATTATAAAGTAATAGTTGTCAAGTTCAAAATGCAGAAATGTATAAAGAGAAATCACCTTTAAACCTAGTACCCATCACTCAGCACCACTCTCAACATTTCAGTGGATTGGCCTACACTTGACTCTTCTATGCCCATCTGCACATCTAGATGTGGGTGCATTATTAAACAGCAATAGAGTCCAAAATGGAAATGTACATGTCAGCTAAATACGCAAAGCTAAATTTTAAGCATTTTGTTCTCTAAAGTATTCCCCCATCCCTCTCATTTTCTTAGCTTTCTGGCTGGCTTGACTGCCTGGCCAAACAGGCGGTTTTAACTGGGGCACCAATGCTGTGGGGCCTTGTGGGTTTAGTAGAAAATTTGGGACATTAGTCCTCCTGCCAGAGGCAGCTGAAGTCTCCTGAAGGGATAAGTATTTGTCCAGCTGGGGCAGGAGATGACGTAGCAATCAATAGTGAGGATGGGATACAAATCCCAATTTGACTTGATTTAACTGAGATTCATAACAGCCGTGATTACTGGCCTGTGAGAAGGGAGTTATGTATACTAGACTTTTCCACTAATGCCAGTAAATTCAACTGAATTGTAAGGGTCAAATTCGATAAGTGCAGAATCTAAGGAAAAGGAATGGGTATCAAGCATGAAAGCCGGTGGAATAGCAGGCCACACTTTTTTTTAAAGTAAGCTCAACCACATCCGGCGGAAGTAACCAGCCAAATCCAGACTATAAGATAGGAAGGGATGGGATGGGGGAAAACTGTTCAAGATTGAGGGACCTAAAAGTAGTTTGCCATGTTTTGGCTTCACCGGGATAGTTTTAATCTTACACCTGTTGTGCCAATGTAATGAATTTATTGCACCCCCGTCAATCTCAAGTGAATAATAAATAGTCATTCTTTCTAAAAGAGACTTATAACAACCATATTTGGATTCTGATTTAACTATCAAATAAGTTAGACAATGATGGTGTAATGTTGATTCGTGCACAGCAGATGGTTATTATTGTGTTGGATGCTGTCATTGTTTTATTAGACAACCTAAGGGAAAAGAGGTCAGTGCCCTGGCCAAATAGGTGCTGCCTGTTTCAACCGCACACTAGTTGAAAATGCTGCAGTAGGGGCAGCAATCTTGTTGGAACAAAATTATTGATATTGGTGGCCAGAAGGTCACCATAGCTGTTCCACGGCATTTCTTCATAGGATTTGGAAACTGTCAATTTACATATCACATATCAAAGAACAGGGGATGTTGCCGAATTGTCACTAGCCCTCCATAGCACTGCCCATGACTATCCCATTTCACCTCCCAAAACAGGCAGCTGCATTTTGCCTCCTTTCGCAGATAAAGAAATGGAGCCACCGTAGTGAAGTAACTCGCTCTCTGCAATGGGAGGGCACTATTAGCTGGGCCTTGAAATCCAAGGCTCTGATCATGCTGCCCTGTGAACCGGCCCAGGCCATCAGGCACACTGTGCAGCCACAGGCCTGCAACCTGGTCCTGTGACCACGGAGTGATCATCCTATGACCAGCATTTTAAAAGGCCCACCACAAGGCGCGCCTCCTCTTCCTTCAGCCGCTGCGCTGCCTGCCTTCTCGCGTTGATGTCGGTGAGCTGGGCATTCAGCCCCAGCCGTGTGTTCTCCACTAGCTTTTTCTGTCTCCTCGCCTCTTCCGCTTCTCGCCTTTCCTTGGCTAATCGGTCTTCCTCCCAGAGCTTACAGAACATCTGCTCTTCCACCAGTTTTTGCCTTTTCAGCTCCTCATTAAACGCAACCTGTGTTTTCCGCTCCTCGCACACCTTCTTCTCATGGATAGAAAGCAATTCAGTGCGGAGCTCCTCACAGCGTTCCCTGAAAGGAGAATTTTAAAGACAAAACCTTCATGAGACATGGCTCTATTTAGGCACATACCTGAAATAGAAAAAGTCAAAGATCTGGATGTAGGCCATATGAGCAGAGAAAACATGTGACGAATGGCAGGGAGATAGGCACCATGATGTCACAGACAAAATACGGGCACTGGGTCAGACAGAGCAGGCTTTGAATCCTAGTTTTGACATTTCCTGTGTGACTTTGGGTTGAAAATTTGACCTATCTGAGCTTTTTTTTTTTTTTTTTTAGTCTTTTAAGGTTCTGGTAAGGATCAGAGATAACAGATGTAAATGCCTGGTAAGTACTAAGAGCTCAATAACTGGTAACTATGATTATTACTACAGGGGAAATACTACAATATTACAAGTGGACGAGGCTTTGGTAGAAAGAGACCCCACATGCACTTCCAAGGAAAGGTCATCTGTGACCACATAGATGAAGGCTTCCCCATCACCCCTGGGCTCCCGGCAGGGCACATGTCCACCGAAGGGGTTTCGCCTGAGCTGCCTGTGCACACCCGGCTATGTCACCATTCAAGAAGACATGCTCTCACCATAAGTGTTTAGACTGTGTCCTCTCTTTCAGTCTTGGTTATTCAAATTTCTTCAAAAGTTCTTCATTGAGCCCTGTGATAGTCAACAATGTCTACACTTCAGAATTACTTAGGGATATTTTCAAAATCCTACTCCCCACTTCTTCCCTTCCTCCTCCCAGACCAGACTAGGTAAAACAGAACACCTGGGGTGGACACAGGCCTCTGCAGTTTGTCAGAGCACCCAGGAGGTTCTGGCATCCAGCCGCGCGAGGAGACCCTCTGACTGAAGGCAATGTTTATAAACATCAAGTCTTCCTGGTTTCTAAATCAGATTCAGCACCAAGAAGCTGAAGTTGGAAAATGGGCTCAATATAGAACTTCTGATGAAATTTTAATAGCTAAGACTGAAAGAAATAATGAAGTCTAAACTCTCATTGCAAGAATGGTCAATACTTCTATTTTAATGATAACAATCACTGATAAAAGTGCTTTACATGGTACTTTCACGCACGAAATCTTGTATCACCCTCGTAAGTATCTTTTAACTCAGAGGTAGCAGCAAGAATTACCTCCATTTTAGAGTTAAAGCAGGGAGCCTACGTGTCTTCCCAGGAGTAGTAATACTATCCGCAGCACTTACTGACTTTTAATTTGCAGGCACTGTTCTAAGCACTTTACAGGTATGGAGTCTTACCATCTTCACAACAACGATGTCGCAGTGAACATTACTGCAAGTTCATTTCCATCGTTATGATCAGCCCCATTTACAGATGAGAAAGAGGAGGCACGGAGCAGTTAAGCATCATAGGTCAGTTCATATATTTCATATGTGGTAGAGCTGGGAGTGAAAACCTGGCAGGCTGGCCTGGAGTTTAGGTTCTTTGGTACCTCATTGTAAGAGTACATACATGTAAAGTGCTTAGAACAATGCCTGGCCAGTAATTGACAGACACAAGTGTTCTCACCATGCATCCTAGGGTATTTGTTTAACAAAAACACCCAAAACAAAACAAAGCTCAAAATTGCCTACTTTAATCTGGGGTTCAATCGCTCATTGTGTATAAATACAGAACACTTAAAATAAAATCACAAGCCCTAGCTGGTTTGGCTCATTGGATAGAGCGTCGACCTGGGGACTGAAAGGTCCCAGGTTTGATTCCGGTCAAGGGCATGTACCTTGGTTGCAGGCACATCCCCAGTAGGGGGTGTGCAGGAGGCAGCTGATCGATGCTTCTCTCTCATCGATGTTTCTAACTCTCTATCCCTCTTCCTTCCTCTCTGTAAAAAATCAATAAAATATATTTTTTTAAAAAATAAAATAAAATAAAATTACAATGTAAAAATCGCAATGTACCAAGAGCATGCTCCATAAAAGAAGTATTGATAAAGTGGGTTTCATCAAAATTAAAATCTTTTTCTCTGTGAAACACCCTCTTAACAGAATAAAAAAACAAACAAAACAAGCTACAGACTAGGAAACAATATTTCCAAACTACATATCCTACATAAAAGACTCATATCCAGAATAAATAAAGTACTCTCAAAACTTAATAGCTAATCCAATTAGAAAATGGGCAGAAGAAATGAAGAGACATTTCACAAAGAAGATGATCTACAGATGGCAAATAAGCACATGAACAGTTGTAAACATCACCAGCCTTTAGGGAAATATATGAATGACCCATTGAAATTCACTTGCTAGTGTCCCCTTTGTCCCTCACAGCATCTTCTCAGCAGCCAGCAGGGAGTGTCCAAGTCCAACCAAGGACAGGAGATGAGGCTAAACTTCAGAAAGGCCAGAAAATCCAAGTCTGATCCTGTGTTGGTTACTACAAGCTTGAAAATCTAGTACAGTGACTATCTGTGGAACTCAAGTTACCATCTTCAAGATGGGGAGTGGCAAGTTCCTTCTGGTGATATGCATGACTAATCTGGTTTTCTTCACTGCCCTTCTTTAGCAGCTCCCCAAGCCCTGAAATTTCCCATTCAGGGAAACAGCATATTTTCAGTTAATCATGTCAATACTCAGACAAAATAAAACTTGGTACTATATAAGTTTAAGTGGCTAAGTCATAACTTGTTTGATTCTTTGAGTATTGTAATACTTTAATTAGTCTTAGCCGTTTAATTTACTTTGTTAGCAGCTGTATCTGCAATTTGTATGCACTACTCACTGCAATAGCTTACTTCTCCTTTGGGCCTCTACTAGGAAGATATAGGACAGTCTATATGATTAATAGAAACTTCATGGCAGAAAGAGAAGAGATGGCAAAAGCTTTATCTCTGAACTATGTCTCGCCCTAGCTGGTTTAGCTCAGTGGATAGAGCATTGGCCCATCTCAGGTTTGGTTCCTGGTCAAGGGTACGTACTTCAGTTGCAGGATCGATCCCCAGCTCTAGTCAGGGTGCAGGCAGGAGGCCACAAATCAATGTGTGTCTTTCACATCGACAATGTTCTCTCTCTGTCTCTCACCCTCCCTTCCACTCTCTCTAAAAATCAATGGAAAAATGTCCTCGGGTGAGGATAAACATCAATAACAAAAAGAACCATGTCGTGATCCCTCCACATGCTTGGTTTTGCTTCTTTCTAACATCTGTTGACCTTTGGATATCTCACCTATTCAGATTTCTTGCGCTGTGAAAAATGAACTCATGTATTCCTTCTGTATTCTACCATACTTTAAACTCAGAGTTTGCATTTTACTTTATCTTGGGCTATCCTATATAATAAAGAGGTAATATGCAAATTGACCCTCATGCCATAAGGCCGTCACAAGATGGCAGCGCGCACAGCAGGGGCGAGGCAGCAGGGGCGGGGCCAGCAGCCGCTCTGTGCAACTTCCACCAGGGTTCCTGGGGCCCCACAGGGGCACAGGGGTCCCAGCGGCCGGAGGCGGGGCATCAGGGCGGTACTCCAGGACTCAGGCCATCTGGCAGCACGCCAGCCACATGGGGCAGGACTCCAGGACTCAGGGCGGTCCCATGGCACTGGACGGGGGGGTCCTGGGTCTCGCACGATTTCGCGCAACAGATCACTAGTAAACAATAACACTGTATTTTATGCTTGAAATTTGTTGAGAATAAATATTAAGTGTTCTTAACTCTAAACAAAACAAAAAATCCCTTAGTGCCTGCATTTTGCAATGATGTGTATATAATTACCAAGATTTAAAGGTACTGGTACAACTACTGTCTATAACCTCTTAAAGCTACACTCTACTGTACATTAGCAATCTTAAGTCTTTTTTAATACACAGATTTTGTGTGTGTGTTTTTCTGGCATTATTACCTGAATTGCTGGTCTAGCTTTTCAGCCACAAAATCTTGCCTCTCTTTTTCTTTCTTCTCTCTTAATAATCTGGTTTTATATCTCATTCTTTCTTTTCTCTCTTCAATTGTTTCTTCTTTCAATTGCATTTCAGTAAAATACTCATTTTCTTCTGATGCTAAAAGTTCACGGAGCCTGAAACAAAATGACCCAAAATTTTTTTTTTAAATTAAAACTGTGATGCCACATACATCACTTTACAAATTTATTTTTATTTTGTTAAATTTTATTTCAGAAGTACATGTTTAATCATAAATTTCACGAGAAGGAAAAGATCATTGCATCCTTCCATAAAATAAAACTAGTTGTCATTTAAAGCAATAAAGAGAGCTCGACCAGAGTTGCTCAGTGTTGAGCGTCAACCTATGAATAAGGAGGTCACAGTTCAATTCCTGGTCAGGGCACATGCCTGGGGGCTTGCAGGAGGCAGCTGATCGATGATACTCTCTCATCTTTGATGTTTCTATCTCTCTCTCCCTCTCCCTTCCTCTCTGAAATCAATAAAAATTTATTAAAAAATAAAGCACTGGTTGCAATAGCCCTGTTGAGGTTGCAACTGCCCTGGTTAGGTTGAAACGGCCCCTGTGAGGTTGAGACGGCCCCGGTGAGGCTGAGACGGCCCCAGTGAGATTGAATCGGCCCTGGTGAGGTCGAGACGACACTGGTGAGGCCAGAACGGCCCCAATGAGGTCGAGACGGCCCCGGTGAGGTCAAGATGGCCCTGGTGAGGTTGAATCAGCCCCAGTGTGGTTAAGACGGCCCCAGTGAGGTTGAATCAGCCCCGGTGAGGTTGAAACAGCCCCAGTGAGGTTGAAACGGCCCCACTGAGACTGAAACGGCCCCGGTAAGGTTGAAACGGTCCATGTGATGTTGAGATGGCCCCTGTGAGGCTGGAATGGCCCCGGTGAGGTTGAGATGGCCCCAGTGAGGTTGAATCGGCCCCAGTGAGGTTGAGACGGCCCCTGTGAGGCTGAGACGGCCCTGGTGAGGCTGAGACAGCCCCGGTGAGGTTGAATCGGCCCCAGTGAGGTTGAAATGGCCCCGGTGAGGCTGAAACGGCCCTGGTGAGGCTGAAACGGCCCTGGTAAGGTTGAAACAGTCCATGTGATGTTGAGATGGCCCCTGCGAGGCTGGAATGGCCCCGGTGAGGTTGAGACGGCCCCAGTGAGGTTAAATCGGCCCTGGTGAGGTTGAGACGGCCCCTGTGAGGCTGAGGCGGCCCCTGTTAGGCTGAGGTGGCCCCTGTGAGACTGAGACAGCCTCTGGGAAGCTGAGAAAAATACATGAACTCATTCATTTATGGATAATAAGGACCATTATAGACTGATGAACAAAAATGGATACAGAGGCAGAGCAGCATTGAGAAGACTGTCAAACTACAGTGGGAACCCTGGGGAAGGTTGGGGGGGGAGGGTAGGAGATCAACCAAAGGACTTATATGCATGCATATGAGAATAAGACACTGGGAGGTGGGGGGAGACAGGGGAATGTCAAGGGGGGGGAAAAGGAGACATGTGTAATACTCTTTGTAATACTTTAAGAAATAAAAAAAAAGAAATAAAAGTGAAGCATGCTAAAAAAAATAAAGCACTGATCTGTGCCATATTTTATTTGATCACATATAGATGTGATATGTAATGTATATCTTTAACAAAAGGAAAAATGAGATATTAATTAAAGTAACAAAATATAAAATAATTATTATTTTGCTATCATGATAATGCAGGTGATTATAAGTAAAAACATAAACAAGCAATAGTTATTGCTTTGGCAGGAATATGAATATCTCAGCCATGATTCTTACTATAATATTCACTTGATTTTTTTTGACAGGTCAGTCTCAAGTGGTTTCAGGATTATTTCATAGTCTGGGTCACCAGGCTTGTGAGCCTTACTTATTTCGTCTTTCTTCAGTGTTGATGATAAATCCTTGCATGGCATCCTTCATTCTTGCTTTCACAAGACTGCCCACAAATTTGCGATTATTGTGCTGGAACCAGTCAACTTTCAAGCGTTCCCGCTCTATGGACTTAATGGAATCCAAAATAGCATGATGTTTCTGATAGTTGCGTAGGATTCTTTCCAGTTGTTGCTCAGCCCTTTGGCTTTCGGGAGGCTTGGCTCTCTGAAAACAAAGAACAACTATCACTTTTGATAGATCCAAAATCAACAGCATATTTTCAGTTAATCATGTCAATACTCAGACAAAATAAAACTTGGTACTATATAAGTTTAAGTGGCTAAGTCGTAACTTGTTTGATTCTTTGAGCCTATACTTAAGATCAAATTCGTCTCAAATATTTCTCAAGTGCCATTTGAGTAAAAGTTCATAGAATTATAAAGTAAAAAATTTGAATGGGATGCTAGAGATTATCTAGTCAAATCAGAGACATTAAGTGATTTGCTCAAGGTGCTTCAAATAGAGCAGACCTGGATAGACCAAGAATTAGAGGTCTTCCAATTCTTGACTTGATCTTGCCACTCAGTATTCTACTATTTCTCTGGGCAGACAACATAGTTACCACCATAAAAACACTTTCAATTAAAAGAGACTACTAAGTAGCTGTGACCAGGTACCTTATGGTTGGAGCATAGTCCCAATATGCTGGGATTGCAGGTTTGATCTCCAGCTAGGGCACAGAGAAGAAGGAACCAATGAATGTATAAATAAGTTACCAACAACAAATCTCTCTTTCTCTCTCTCTCAAAAATCAATTTAAAAAATTTATAAGAGGCTGCTACCTAAGTACAGGTGACCCTTGAACAAAACAGGAGCTAGGAGCACACAGTCAAAAATCCACATATAACTTTTGACTTCCCCTAAACTTAAGTTGTCCCTTGGTATCCACAGGGGATTGGTTCCAGGACCAGCCCCCCACCCCTCGCCCCGGCCTCCATCAAAATCTGTGAATGCTAGTCCCCTATAAAAATATAAAAAATTAGATCAATGCATAGTTGGCTCTCTGGACTCCAAACTGTCAATCAAAAATTGTACAGGGCCCAGCTGGTGTGGCTCATTGGTTGACCATCCACCCATGCACCAAGAGGTCACTGGTTTGATTCCCTGTTAGGCTACGTGCCCAGGTTGCGGGCTCAATCTCCAGTGGGGGGCGTGCAGGAGGCAGCAATGGATATTTCTCTCCCTCTCTCTTCCTCTCTCTCTAAAATCAATAAAAACATTAAAAAAATAGTACAGGTGTTTATTGAACACCTGTATGAGTGGATATCATGCAATTCAAACCTATGTTGTTCAAGGTCAGCTATACATAGAATGTATATAAAATAAGTTGTGAGCCCTAACCGGTTTGGCTCAGTGGATAGAGCATCGGCCTACGGACTGAAGGGTCCCGGGTTTGATTCTGGTCGAGGGCATGTACCTTGGTTGTGGGCGCGTCTCCAGTTGGAGGTGTGCAGGAGGCAGCTGATCGATGTTTCTCTCTCATCGATGTTTCTAACTCTCTATCCCTCTCCCTTCCTCTCTGTAAAAAAATCAATAAAATATATATTTTAAAAAAATAAAATAAAATAAGTTGTGAGAAGGAAGAAAGGAAGAAAGTGGGGGAGAAAGGAGAGAACTAAGGAAAAGTAAAAAAGAAAAGCAAAACCGGTGGTAAAACTTTATTTCTATTTCTATTGTGCCCAGGAATTTAATGCAAGGGCTATGCTCCTGACATTTTGGGTAACTTAGATTTCTGTAAATATGTTCATTTTACACAAACATCCACTAAAAAGTTGGAAACGCACACACCATTTTGAATATATATTGATACATTTAATAAAATCACATGGAATATATCTTTTTCAATTCTGTATTCCTGGCATTGAACATAATGCTTACCACTGTCAGGTTCTCATAGGAAGGAAAGACAGAAAGAAAAGACAATGTTTCTGGGTGGGCTTGATACAATTTCTGCTCCTCCTAGGGCCACCATTAAATCCGCGGTCTTGAGCTTTGTACTTCCAGCTAGTTTTATCAAGTCAACCTTATGTGAGTCATGACACTCTGGGGTCCTGATTCACAGCAACAAAACTCAACTTACAGCAGAGAGTCAATCTTATCACTTACACTTAGAACGTCATTGTCAGGACTACCAAAATACAAGGTTGGGTCTTGGTAAAGGAGTCTTCTGGAGAAAGAAAATCAACATCTGTAGAAGTTTGATGAAAAGATTAAGGGTTCCGGTACGCAGATAGACACTTAGGTTTAACTGAACAAGATAAGGCAAGGTTGAGATGAGCTAGAGACAGAACATGATGTCTGAAGTAATATGGGAATTAGCTAATTCAGAATTATTTAGAGTCTGGAGCCAGTTAACAAATTACTGTTCTCTAATATGTATGGCATTTTAGAAATGCAGCTTCAGTGTCAACAAAACAGAGCAGGGTTGAAACTACACCTTGGACTACACAGAATACACAGAAACTCAGGTTCCCAGTAGACATACATACAGGCTGAGAACAGCAACCAAGTTCCAAGACCATCAGGAATCAATTGTCTTGGCAAGAACCAGGCCCTGAGGCACATTTTGACTGAAGAAGGGAATAGGGTTAGAGGATAGTGAGAAACAGCCAGAGCAGTAGCCAAGGAGCCAGGAAGCCTTTTAAGGCTTGGGGCTTGCCATGCAGGACTCTGTGGCCAGAAAGGACCCATTCTCTGGATGAATAAACTATGATCTGGAGTTCTCTAACAAGATGATGCCAATCCATGCACAGTCTTATCGTTAATCAAAACTGTCACTGCTTAATAGAAATATAATGTAAACCAGATCTGTAATTTAACATTTTCTAGTAGCTGCATTTTTAAAAGTAAAAAGACACCTGAAACTAACAAAATAATATTGAATGTAAACTATAATTGAAAAATAAAATTAAAATAAAAGAGTAAAAAGAAACAGGGAAATTAATTATAATAATATATTTTATTTAACCAATATATCCAAAATACTATCATCTCAACAGGTGATTCTAAGCATATTTCAAGTGATCAAAAGTTATGTGTAGACACTGGACTCTAAACCATGCTAAAGGCAAGCAAAAAAGGATTTTATAACTACCTTGTATTTTCAAGGTCACTGAAGGCTTTTGTTACTGTAACATCTCACATTATAGTTTCTAGTATTACAGTTTACAGTTTAATCTCTTAAAGAACAATGTCTTATATTCTAGCTAGGATTCTGGCCTCTACCCCTCTGTCCATGATCAGAATAAATGTCCTCCTAAAAAACTATTTTGAGAAGTGAATAACTGGGTTCCTAGGAGGCACTCATCAAACAGTGGCTCATTTCGGTTTTCCATTACTTCAGACATTACACCTTTTATTGCTTTTTTTCTGGTGTAGTTGTTTAGCACCCAAGTCTCAGCTCTGGTGGCTTTTATTCTTCTCCCACAACTCTGCAACTGCTACCATCCACATTTCTTAGCACAGACTCTGATCTTTTCCTTTCTATTTTTCTATAAGCTCCAAGTGTAAGCTCAAAGCATTACATAGGCCTGCTTCTCTGGTCTGGAGGTAATCTGGTGGAACAGAAATTCCTACTGTTCCCAACACAAATAGTGGCACCTGACCAATGCACCAGCCCCTCAGCTCTGTGTTCTGATACCAAACCCAGAGTAGGTAAGTTTCTGTCCCTGATGAAGCCTGTCTATAATTAACTTAAACCCTACAGTCTGTAGAAACTCCAGTGTACTGATTTCCAGGCCCAATCCTACAGTCCTTGGACTTAGAAAAGAGGGAGCAGGTCTATAAATGGACTGATAATTGCTGTGTGCACCATGGAACATAAAATTGTATCCTTCATTATCCCTGATATTTCCTCCATAAAGTGTCCTCACAACTGTAGCATATCACGATCTACTGTTAACCTTTTATGGTTTTCTGCATGAGCAAGTTGTTTCTGCAATTAGATAATAAGCAACTTGAAGGCAGGGATCAGACTTCTGTTGAAGAGTGAACCTCCCAGGGTCATTGTATCTCCCACTTTGCTGTGCATGCAGGAGGCACTCAAGCAATACCTCCATAATTGCCTAATTACATATGGAAGTTTTCTAGCCTGTTGAAATACAGGTGCATGGACCTAAGACCAAGCCAGCTTTCCAGGCAACAAACCCTCCTGTTTCCATCCAGGCCTGCAGGGACACTTCTGTTACAGTTGAGTTTGCACAGAAGGGCTCTATAACCCCTGGCAACCCCTCACAGCCCAACACCCCTTCCACAGACAACCGAATCACCTCCGGCCCAGACCGATTTCCTGCTGCCTGACCTACTGCCTTTCCCATGACGCACGCACCACAAATCGCAAGGGACGACGACAGCCTTTGGGTGTCTTGGAAACTAAAACTCCTCAAGATCCCAAGTAGTAATTCTCCCAATACAGAATCTAAATATTGTAACAAGCAGGGGAGGGGGAGGAGGGACGGAATACCCAAGCGAAATTGCAGGCACCAGTTTTCCTGAGCCCCCGCTGGAGGCCAGATTGGGCTCCGCTAGGTCTGGAGGCCAGATTGGGCTCCGCTAGGTCTGGAGTGCTCGAGGATGCAGAAAGCAGTTGGGGCCCGGGAGTGGGGCCCTTAACCTCCCGCTGTACGATGCCAAACCGCTGGCTGTACATTTTCGAGTCTCCCCTCGGGATAGTGCGGCGTCTGCCGCAGTTCCCTAACGGTGCAACCTGCAACCGGTGGAACCAGCTTCGGAGACACAGATGTCCCGTTGCCATGGTGAGCCTCGCGGGGCAGGTGGGTGGGGCGGAAGTTGATCCTGTCACCATGGTGACCATAGACACCGGGACTTGCGACTTCCTCTGGAAGCGGATAAGCTGAGTCTACGAGGGGGCCCTCACCACGCCCTTGATCAGGTCTCCTGCAGACCTCGCCCTTTTCCTCTAGGCTTCATCAGAGTAGTAGAAAAAAGCCTCTTTTACCCGAAGTGAAGTCGAAGATCTAATAATATTCCAATTGGCTTTGCTATTTATATCCTGTAACCAGTCGGTCTAAAAGCACGAGAAAGGTTAGTGGACATTTTATGGGAAGGTTATTAAATGTTGTGGCCATCCTAGGATAATCTTGATAACGTAAATCATCACAAGACCTCCTGGTATGTTTTTGTAGTTCTTGACAGTAATTTGCAAA